ATGATCAGAGCCTGTGTCTGGGAGAGGTTCCTACCAGCCTCAAGCAGATATTTTTTTTTTCTTGAAAAAAAAAATTAAAAATTAAACTCTGGGCTATCCCATAGGACCCAGGCCTGGCCCCTATGCGATGGCTCCGGTCCCTAAACCCATATACATATAGTTTAGGACCCAGTTTAGCGTGCAGGCCTGCACGCCAACTGCAGGCCAATCTACCCTGCAGCAGATTGGCGTGCAGGGGCGCACGCCAATCTGCGCTTGGCGTGCAGATTGGCGTGCGCCATGGGGGTTGGCATGCACTTATCAACCCCCGCTATGTGGGTATGTGTAGACAATTGTGCTTTTAGCAGATGGCCCTCAAGATTCTTCATCGACTTGAAGATGAAGTGAGAAGTCGGATGTTTGTTTCCTGAAAGTTTGACAGTGACTAGATGTACATAGTGACAAAAACAAATCAACAGTTAAATGATTGATCACTTCATATCGACAACGCTGCCACAGATACGGTATCTGCCCGTATCTGCCATGTATCACTATGTATCTGAGCGCCAATAAAAAAAAACTATCTGACCAATCTGCTTTTATTTGCAAGAAGATTCAACAAGTTTGGTTTTTGGCCATGCAGCTTTGCAGAATTCTCCATGATACACACAGCGTATCGTATCTGTGGCAGCGTTGATATTGGATGGAAAATGTCAACAAGCATACCTTCATAAAAGATTCCAAGGAAGTCCTTCATTGCCAAGAGCTGTGTCCACTCTTCAGGAGTGGGACAACCTTCATAGTTTGCATCAGTGGTTGCTAAATCCTCAAAGGCCTCCCGAAAAGGTAAACTTGATTGAATCATCAAATATGTTGAGTTCCATTGAGTTGCAACATCCTTTGAGGGTCAAAAATTCACATTGATGTTTGCAGATTCTATTGCAGCTTTGAATAGTTGTCCTCGTGCTTGACTTGCATTGATGTATCTGACTGATTGTCGCAACTTCTTGACTGCCTGAAGAATAACGGTGAGGCCGTCTTTTACAATTAAATTAATAATATGTGCTGAACAACGCACATGAAAGAATTTTCCATCTGCCTCTAGTCCTAGTTGGCTGCAATCAGAGACAATCGATTGAAATCGACTGATAGCAAGATCGTTTGACGAGGCGTTGTCAACTGTGACAAATGAGCATTTTCCGATGGCTTTCCATTCAACCATGCTTTGCAATAGCCTATCAGCAATTGCAGCTCCGGTGTGCGGCAATGGTAACTCCTTAAATGAGACAATGTGCTTCACCAGGTCCCAGGAATCATTAACGTAATGTGCAGTTATTACCATGTATCCGACAGAGTCGCGCGCAATCCAGAGATCTGTAGTCAATGAAATTCTCTTTGCATGTAAGAGCTGTTTGAGGAGGTCCTTCTTCATTGCTTGGAAGAGGCCCATGAAGTCTTCCTTCACAGTGAATCAGGACTTCAGCTTGAAGCTGGGTTGGAGCGATTCGAGTAGAAGCTTGAAATATTTATGTTCTACCATCCTGAAGGGGTAATCATGTGCGGCAATCATTTGAGCTACAATTGCTCTAGATTTTTCAGCGGAAAAATGCCAGGTAGATTGGTTAAGCTGGCCTTGATGGGTTGTAAGCCGTGTCTGCTTTGCGGAATTGCTTGACTGATAACACTTGCATCGTTTCAAGTGACGCCAGAGGTGCTGGGTACCGGAAGAACTTCTTCCAGAGAGCTTATCCTTACAGTAGTTGCAGGTTGCCTTCAAATCACCATTTGCATCCGGCTTTTCCTTGGTAAAATAGTTCCAAACCTCGCTTGTAGCTTTTCTCTTCTTGGTTGAATTCTCTATCTCTTCAGTATCCAAGGAGGTTGATGATTGAACTATAATGATTTCTTCTTCATTGGATTGCAAGTTGTTTTTGCTTTTGGCCGGTGCAGGTGACATGATGAAGGTTGAAGGGAAGATTGATAAAAAGTATGATAATGGAGATTGGAGAGAGATTCAAAAATTGGCTTGACACTCGATCCAAGCAATTGACAACTTCTCACTTCTCATCCAGAACAGCAGAATTGGAGTCAATTCTGAGGATTCAAGTTTCAGCTTGTGAATTTTGTACACAAGCTCCAACAAGACTTTTTGATTGTCTTTGATCAAGTTTCAGCCTAACTATTAGGCTGAAACCTGTGGGACTTCAGCTCACCTAACCCATCCGATCACTTGTGGGTACCCATGGGTCAACCCACCCTGCACTAGGCTCAACCCGACCCAACATGGGTCACCCAGCGGGTCAACCCAGTTGGGTAAAGAAATTTGACTATGCTGACCCAACCTGCCCCAGACCCGAGCGGGTCGGGGCAGCCCGTGGGCTGACCCGGCCCACCCTCACCCCTAGGCCAGGGTGGGCATTTTCGAGTTGCACAGCCGGCATATTGGTTGCGTTTGTAGGGTGGTCGGCGGCGGCTTGATTGGTGTTGGTGGGGTGTCCCAACAAGTTGACTGGGTTGGACTGGCGGAGTTGTCCAGTAGCCACGAGTTTGTTGTGCGCCTGTTCCACAACCACAGGTTTGTTTGGGTTTTGTCCCGGACCATGAGCTCTGGTGGCGATGGGCACAGGGGTAATCTCGTTGTCCAGGTCAATGACTGCATGGCGAGGGTGAAGCCTGCTGGAATGTCGTGTGGAAACACGGTGGCCCCTTGAGCGGCGGAGAGAATGTTGAACCATTGGGCCTGAAAAAAATAAATCATGTCAGAAGGCTCACTTTAATGGAAATGACTCGCTTCAACACATGTTTCTCAACTGTCAGTCTTCTGTTTTTGGTTGCGCTTGAAGGAGATGGGATTGCTTCTTGGGTGGTTTCTTGATGGGTGATTGGGTTGACCCTGCTCAAATGGTGTTGTGTCGCAATTTCCTCAAAATCTTTTCCTGCTGCCTGATGATCCACTCAATCATCAGGCAGCAGGCAGAAACCAGTCTGAGAATGAGTGATCCGACTGGATTCCACTCAATGCACACTGTCAAGATTTCAAAGCTCAAAGTTGGCCCGCATGCTGACCAGGCAATGGATGGAAGCTCTGGCTCTTGCAAAACCATAAGAGGGCCTGGGGGCTGCCTTATGGATGCTCAAGGCATCAAGGACATTTGACCCCAGCAAATGCAACCATAAATGTCCTTCAGATGATCCCTCCCCTGGATGTGATCAATTTCAATACACAATAAGCCCAGTGTGCTCTTGATTGTTCACAGAAAAATGAACCCTGCCAAAATTCAATTCAAACTTAGTGAAACTACCCACCACAGTGTGCAGGTTGGATGTAATTCTTCACATGATCACACATTTCACCATTTCCTTTGTGAGGGCTGCT